ACTTGTTATTGCATCCTGATTCCATGGATTTACCTCAGAATCTCTGTCAATTTTGGGAGTTTCCTGCCACCTTTTGAATTTCCTTCCTGAATCTTGCTTCCCTTCTACTATATATTATCTTTAACTATTTAAAGAAAGTGTGATTAACAGATACCTTCTCCCACTGTGCCCTTTCCCTTTTTTTTCTATTCTTTCTAATTTGTAGCCCATCTCTAGGTAACATACATTTAGACAATAGGTATTTCCACTGGATTACTTGTACAACAGTACACAAATATAACATGGTTTGACGGCGTACAGTCGATATTCGCCCCCAGAAGTATTGGAAGTTGACAAACTAAATATCGAGGGGAGCTAATATCAACTGTCCGACCGAAATGAACCATGTTATATTTGTTTTTCTATACCTCATACATATTCAGATGCCGTATTTTACTGTTGCAGTAGCATGCACCTGAAGGGCAAAATATCTCTGGAGAAACTTGTCCAGCTCACCAGAAGAATATTATTGCTCAACCTCAAAAAAGTTCAGTTTGTTTGCAATACTGTAACCAAGGTTGTAAATACAGTTGTAAATCTTTATTGTCAAAAATATTTGTAAGTTCGGCATCATTGAACTCGGGAATAGGCTGCACGTAATTAATATTTACGCGTGCAACCATCTGTGCATGTGTAGCTAGCTAAGGCGATGTTCACGCATGCGTAGTACACCCGTGCGACAGTTTCACATGTGCTTCGTAAATATATTCAGTTGCCGAATTTATTATTAGGCACCTAAAACAAAATTTGGGGAAACTTGTACAGCTCACCAAAAGATTGAACTTCAATTACTAGTATGGTTCGTTTGCAATATAATACAGTTACTACAGTTGTAAATACAGTTGTTTGCAATGTGTACAACTTTCTTTTGTACAGGAGACATCTTTACATGGTCTATACATTTTCTCCAGTACGGCATCATTGAGCTCTGTAAATTAACATTAACACGAACCGTGCAACCATGCATCTCTCCTGTGCGATGTTCGCGCGTGCGTACTGCAGCCGTGCGACAGTTCCTCGATTGCTCTGTAAAGCGCATGCATAGTAGACTATCACACAGGTAACCCATAAGACAGTCAACTACGTATGTGTATTTACCTGCGCGCTTAAGCAAACAGCAAAATAGCATGTCATCAGGGGCAGCGGAACTGGGGGGGGGGGGGGGGGGGGGGGGGGCACTAGCACTAGCACTAGCGGATCCAAGGAAAAGTTGCATGTCTGTAGAAAAGTGTTACTTGCTCTTCAAAACAAAATCTAAAATAAACCTAGAAAATTTAAACTTTATTAGAAAAATGTTTGTACTCCCAACCAGCTACTTCCAGAATATAGGAAGGGTTAAATTAAAATACCCACACAGCAAGAAGCTAGACGTGTGACCAACTTTGACAATGAGCTTACCTGCCTGTACCATGGAGTGTTTATAGCTCCATGCCTGTACTGATGCCTGGCAGGCGATTGGGGCATCATACCGCCTGCTAGGGAACTCCTCATGAACTTCTGGGGCTATTTCTGCAAATGCGTGTGTGTGACGCAGTGTGTGACCTAGCTTGTTCCACAATACTTCCGAAAAAGGAGTCAACTTGCCAGCAGTTGATTAACTTGACAACGTGAATTACACACCGAAACTTCGTCTTTTTCTCCCTCTTCGTCTTCCGACGTCGCATTTTGTTTATAGGGAGTCGGGACATGATTCCAAAACACGCCCCATATCTTTACACTAGTTGCCTAGACAGGGATCAGACTAACTGTTTCCAGATGTATGTTCGAAAACTTGAAAAAAAAAATTCCGTTGTAATTTCTTGTTCTTATATGTTAACAACTAATTAACTTCACAAGAACATCCTTTAATCGTCGTTCTTGTATTTTTAACGACTTTTGATGGGATTAGAAACCAACCGAACGAGTTGAGTCTGATTATGAATAAAAAATAAGCTTTGTTCAACTTGGCCCACGGTCTATATGATTCCCTTTGGTGTTCCTCATCATTTTGCCACGGATAAACCTAAACCAAAAATGCCTCTAAACCTGCTCTTCATAGAGAGAGAGAAACATTTTGTGGACGTGGGCAAGTCCACACAACGTATAGCTGCTACCTCATTTATGTCGACCTATTTTGTTTGGAAGTCCACACAGTGAATGCTTGTTTACCCATAAAAGTGTGTATTTGCCTCATCGGGGACCCCCTATTGTCCCTCTTTTGTTTGTACTTAAACTTTTTAGGAAGACCTCCGAAATGTAATGTACACGAATCCAAAAAGGGGACCTCTCGAAAATTGAGAACCCTATTGTGCTCTGTTTTTCAACGTCCCCTACTGAATGCAGAAACGAACTCACGTACCCACCCACAAACCCACCGACCAACCAACCAACCAACCAACATAAGCAGCTCAAGCCACTTGGCGTTAAACGAAAAAAAAGGGAAAACTGAAAGTGTGAAGATGTATTTATGCTTACTTTCTGGGCAAGGTCCATTGCTGACGACCTGTATGTCCAAGTCCAGCAGACAGCCTGCAGCCTTCATTCTGCAGATACTGGGGTACGTTCGACCGTCACTCCCACAGTATTGCTCCTGGCCTACGTCATCACACTGCCGCGGGTGGATGCAGTGGCATGTTGATGGGCCATTGCTGTTGGCCACACATCTCTCCCAAACCTCACAGTTGCAGTCATCCGGCCCCAATAGCGGGCCTGTGTCATCAGGAACATCGGCTGTCGAAAAAAACCCAAGAACTTCAACAGTAAGGATTCTTGTATTGAATTATTTAGTGTCACATATTCGTGAGTACATTTTCTATGTACTGCCATCCTTTTAGACATTTAATTGTAAAGTTTTCAATTTAAAAAAAAAAAGACTATAAGTGAAGTCTTTTTTGTGGGAAAAAACGTATTTCCAAATTCTTCAAAAAATAAAGGTCTACATTTATACCTGTAAGAAACTTTGTGGAAATACTGATGGTGAATCCATACCCCTTCTGTGGTTCAAAGCAATAAGGATGTTAGATTTGTATACTTGTTTGTGATTATTGTTCTAAAGTATTATTCTAGGCCTACAGGTATTTGTCACTACGAATGGAATCCTCATATTATTTTACTTTCTGCTCTGGTAACCGAAAAACATACATGTACATGGTAGTTAATGAGTAACCGCTAATCACGATTTTACTTCAAACAGAATAAATTGTATGACTGACTTCAAAATAAACCAGAGTCTCACCTTCACAAGTAGGGAAGGGAGGAGACCAGCTGCCACCCTGGCAAGTGAGGCGTGTTTCTCCTACCCGATGGAATCCGGATTGGCAAGTAAACATCACTACTGAGCCTGGTGAGTTGCCTCCATTTATCGTGAGTCGTAGGTTGGAGTCTAGGTTTGCCATGTTGATCTCTGGACAGTCCCGAGCTGGCCATGGAACAAATGATACAATGTGGAACCATTATCTTAGACAAAGATTAAAAACATCCTAATAATACGCACATGTTTCTGTTGGTAATCAATTTGAAGCCCCCCAAAAGTGTGTAATCGTCAGGCTTAAAGTATATCACTGCATGGTATACCTTTTGTTAATTTTAGTGTGTAAAGTCAATTTGGATTATGAAAAGTATGTTTGATGGAACCGACTTTACTGAAAAGACAATTGATGTACATAGATATTTCTACCTTAAACTAAGACATTTATTTTTTTTCAACACCAATTTCAATTATGTCAACGTCCCGTATTTCCTCTTTGCCATTTCCCAGTTATGCAAAATAGCTGGATTAAAAGATTTCGTCCCTAATATTCATCTCATCTTGTACATCTATGCGTTTTTATAAGAATATCACAAAAGAGCCACATGTTGAATATGGATCACCCAGTAACACACAAGAACAACTGAATAGTTGACCAAACGTATCCCGGACAATTTAGTCATAGGCCCTGCTACCTGCCTTTCCTCTTGAAAGAGGGCCACATGACCATGCATTTTTTTGATGGTTTGCTCTGAATTGCATATCTTGAATTTTCTACCTTTCTCCCAGAGAATCATCTGGTAAACGGAAAGAGAAACTGGAAAAGGCGACCATTAGGCAACGGTGGTTCTTTTTAATAATTTATTTAAATTTATAGTGCGCAAATTCCATTTAAAATATGATCAAATGCGCATTACAGTCATAAAAAAATAAAAATAAACAGACGTATACGCAAAATTCAACAATACAATGAACACTGATACAGGGTACAAAAAATCAATAAAAAGCTCTCATAAAAAGATGAGTTTTAAGTAATTGTTTAAAAACATTCAGGCTACTTGCTTCTCGGATATTTAATGGCAGTGCATTCCATAACTGCAGTGCAGCACACTCAAATGCACGATTACCAAGGGTGACCTTGGTTCGACTTGCTGAGTAACTGAGGAGTGTTTTTTCATTGGAAGATCTGAGATTGTAATTGGATGAAGATCGTTTTTGGATTAGATGGCATATATATAAATATATATTTTTTAAAAATTCATATACTTGACCACTCAGAATGTAGAATGGAAGGCCTCAATCACTTACCTCTGCAGCGCGGTATTTCTCCCAACCATTCACCAAGGTTGCATTTGATCGTCCGTTCCCCGATGAGATCATAGCCCTCGTTGCATTCAAATGATACTGACTCTGTTAGGCGGAAGTCATCGCCGATACGACGACCGTTTAACGGGGGACTTGGCTCTGAACAGGAAACGGCTATGAAAAAAGTACAGAAAATAATAACACTGCAGAAAATTACTAACATGCACTCAAAAAACAAGCCTGTAACTATTAAACAACTTCGTAGCAATGTCAAATGTGACTTGTGGACTATCAATGCAAGTTACTTGCGTTCAGAAGGATCATTAATTTAACCATCACAAAAAAAGTACGGTGCAATTAAGCTGAATTTAAAATCTGCAAACTTCAAACTGGCCGTTACTCATAAAGATAAATTGGCAACTGGACTTACCTCTTACCTGTATCATAAGCCGATGAAATGCAGTTGGCCACCCAAACTTCTTACAGGTATAAGTCCCTGAATGGCCTTCTGCAGGCACACCATACTTCTTTTTTCCTTGACCACCTGGAGTCCATTGTTGTGAGTGACTGTGTTCTAAAACTGGGTAACCGCTGGAGACAATGCAATCCACATTCAACTGACCAACACCAGGGTAGATGAGCAAGGTTCCATTAGCCATGAACTGATGGAGCGTGGTATCTAAGGCTGGGAGGCTGAAGCTTGTTAATGCCCGCTCTGCCATGAATAGGAAGAGGATATTACTATAAGCAACACCTCCAGATCTTGATGCACAAAATCGCAAAGATCATGTTTGATTTCATGGTTTCCGAGTGGTGCCCTGCGACGCTGAGCCATTGGGAAACCAAAATATGCCCTGAATTAAGAGTGTCTTGTAAAACGCAGGTTCAAATTCCTCTCTAGTGAATTTCATTGTTGAATTTAATATTGTTTTTCAATAAAACTTGGCCTTAGTAATAATATCCCTTATCCTGTCATCTGAGTGTTAACCACATGCTACATCACCGTAATTTTGGATAGGATCGGAGGCCACTTGGTACACATATGGTTTCTATTCATAAATACCAATTTTATAGAAAAAAAATGGGTATTCGAAATCTGGCGAAATCGAGCACCAGAAGTATATTGATGCAGAGTACCCACATTCAAATCTTGCTCAATACATTTTTTTTCGTTCAATCAAATACCAACTAAATAAAGTAAAACATACCGCATACTGGCACAGGTCCAGTCCATCTGCCGTCATTACAGGTGCGAAGCGGACCAGTTACCAGTGTCATTGTTAATGGATCCTTACACCGTGACATAATGGTGGATTCATGGAAGAACGAAGGGTGAGGGGTGTCAAGTAGCTTGATTGAATCGTCAACATACTGTCTGACATCTGGGACTGCCACAGGACGAGAACAAGAGCGCTTGTATGTAACCTCTGTCATACAACAAAGACATTAAAGATTCAATATTAAATCATAGATATTTACCAAAATATGTAATGGAGGGCTTACCAATCTCTGCGCAGTAGTGCAACAGGCAACACAGGCCATTATACAGTTCCTACGCACAGCAACAATTATGCTTTTATTTAGTTTAATTCATTATTGAAGTCAGTAACGTGATTTCATTTTAAAAGAGAATAACTGAACTTGATCCACTGCATAGGTGTAGCCAGCGGGGGGTGGGGGGGGGGAGGGGGTATTTCCCCCCCCCAATATTTTGTAAAGACTGCCTTTTTCCATTCAAATGCCCTTTTTTTCAATTACCCCCCCCCCCAAAAAAAAATTGTATCTAGTGCCCTTTTTTTACGAAGTGCCCTCTTTTTCTGAACAAGTGGCCTTTTCAAAAAAGAAGTGGTGCCCTTTTTTGTGGCATCTGCCGTTTTGGGTGCCTTTTTCAGAATTTCGCACATGCATCGCCCTGAAAAGCACCATATGTTGGCTCTTTGTGTGCATAAGTGTCGGTTTTGAACAGCGCCCCCACCGACAGATGGTAACCTCCCCCCCCCCCCCTTCCCCCGCTTTTTGATTTAACGAAGGCCAAGTGTCCGGAGGAAAAAAAAACCCTGTCTACATTTCACAACGGATGTGCAAGTGCCCCGTTCAAAATTGTTTACCCCCTCCCCCAATAAAAATGACCGTGCTACGCCCCTGCACTGTGAAAATAAATGTGTCTTTTCGGGGTAATTCCGTAATTTGGGTCGTATATTTCATACACTTTGATGAGCTGTTGTTGGCAAGGTCAATGTGATACATCACTTTTAATTTGGCCTCTAATGAGAAGAAAACAATTACAGGCCAAACAAAAGTTCCACCACCTTAACGACCTTGTACATGTTGTACATGTACATCATTTGGTTGGACGTACGTTGGATTTTTTTGGAATTTCCCTCCACAAGGCATTTTCCCCCAATCTAACAAACCATGTAGATTTCATGAACAAGACTTTTTGTTTAAAAGGACTGGTGTGCCAATTATGATATTCTTTTCACTGCCGCCGCCCCACCGTCCACTCACGAAAAGCGTTATTACAATCAACATCACCCGGGAGTAGGAGTTCTAGCAGTTAACAAGGTGTAGATTTATAACAATAAGCAAAGTAGAGAGATGATAGATTAGAAAGATTAGAGTTGATTAATCGAGTTGCATTAAGTATGAGATAAAACTGAATGATGGATGAGGGTGAACTAAAATATTATGAATAAAACTATACGACATTAATTACTTCAATTAAACCGTTTGGGTAGTTGACAAAACATAACTTTAACAGGTCTTTAACCAATTAAAATTGTCATCTGATTTTTTCTTACTATCGAAATGATAGTAAACAAAAGACAATTGACCAAGCAACTAAGGTCAATAATCTTATGAATCAGATTAAATGATGTACTTATTCTATGTATTAAATAAAGGTAAAGCAACAAATGTGATAACTTTAATTTATAAATTTGTTACAAGTATATTTTTAAGAATTATACCATAATTAACCCCAAAGTCAAGCTGTAATTCATTTTATTGTATTTGGTATTAAATGACCAATAAAGACCAAAGACAATTTATCTAACCGCAACGTGGTAGTGCAGGCATCCAGGCTCCATTCCTACAAGTAGCGGTCACTGCCTCTCTGCCATTGACAGTGAAGTCTGTGTTACATCGAACCTCAATCTCATCACCATTGTCAAATATGATTTCAAAGTCTCTTGTGTCAATGTTTTGGCCACGGTGGTAGATGAGGGAATTTAGGACTGATGGTGTGGGACATGTGGCAGCTGCCACAGGTGGTTCGGTCACTGAAAACATAAATCAGACAAATGAAATCAACATGTTAATCAGTTCCATCCTGATTCCATCTATTTACCTCAGAATCTCTCTCAATTTTGGGAGTTTAGTCCTGCCACCTTTTGAATGTCCTTCCTGAATCCTGCCTCCCTTCTACTATTATCTTTAATTATTTAGAGAAAGTGTGATGAACAGATACCTTCTCCTACTGTGCCTTTTCCCGTTTTTTCCTATTCTTTCTAATTTGTAGCCAATCTCTGGGTAATAGACATTTAGACAATAAGTATTTCTACTGGATTACTTGTAAAACATTACACAAATATAACATGGTTCGATGGTGTACAGTCGATATTCGCCCCCAGAAGTATTGGAAGTTGACAAACTAAATATCGAGGGGAGCTGAAGTGAACCATGTTATATTTGTTTTACTATATAGTCGTGTTTCCTAACGTGGCGCACTTCGAAGCCTTCCCAACTTTCCTCGTGTAGTGTTACCAAACCTCTTTGTTGACAAACCTCAAATTCATGCAGTAAAATACTGGTACGTTTACCTTATTAATGCGTGCTATGTAACCTCTGTGAACAATTTCGGTTTCATAAAATTTAATCCGAAATTCAAAAACGGTGGCGTCCGGAAATTGGGCACAAATTCGCAGAGTGTTCCCTAACGTGGCGCACATTGAAGAATTTCTGTAAACTTGATAAATTCTGATAAATCATTATTATCTCTACTTACATACCCAGCTAGATGTTTGTCACAAAATTATTTTCGTATTTTTTCGGGGCATTTTCAAAGGGTTTACTTTGTACTTGAAGATAAAATCGAAAAATCACGCCAAAATAAATTTTTCTTCTTACTTTGTAACGGGTAAATAAACTCACGATTTGTGAATGGGAGTGTTTAGAACTTGATGAAATGTCACTTTCTGTGAAATTTCAGTTAAGATTTTTGCTCTAGGTAGGCGATACAGGCGAAAAATCAAAGTGCGCCACGTTGGGGGCCGTGCCACTTTAGGGTACATCAACAATACCTCATACGTATTCAGTTGCCTAATTTCCTGTTGCAGTAGTATGCACCTGGAGGGTAAAATATCTCTGGAGAAACTTGTCCAGCTCACCAGAAGAATATTATTGCTCAACCTCAGAAAAGTTCAGTTTGTTTGCAATACTGTAACCAAGGTTGTAAATACAGTTGCAAATCTTTATTGTTAAAAATATTTTTCAGTTCGGCATCATTGAACTCGGGAATAGGCTACACGTAATTAATATTTACGCGTGCAACCATCTTTTCATGTGTAGCTAGCTAGGGCGATATTCACGCATGCGTAGTACACCCATGCGACAGTTTCACATGTGCTTCGTAAAGCGCATGCATAGTAGACTGTCACACAGGTGACCCATAAGACGGTGTACTACATATGTGTATGTACCTGCGCGCTTGGTAAACAGCAAAATAACATATGTCATCAGGGGCAGCGGAAGGGGAGGGGGAGGCACTTGCCACCCCCCCCCGCCCACAATTTAGCAAAGTGCCCCTAAAATTCCAGATAATTTGTTTTTTAATGACCATATCCCAAAATGATATAGAGAGGTCTGATATGAATGAGGAATATGAAAAACCAAGCCCCAAAACCCTTACAATGCGCCCTGAAAATGGCCACATAATGCGTCGTTATCCTAATGGCCGGTTTTGAAGAGCGCCCCCTATTTTTGAATATGGTACTATCCCCCCCCCCCCCCATTTGATTTTACGGAGGCCAAGTGCCCGGTGGAAAAAACTGTCGACATTTCAGCACAGATGTAACCCCCCCCCCTCCCCCCCCCAAATGGATATGCTGCTGCACCGACGGAAGATGCCTTATACAGAGCAAGTGCCCCGTTTGGTGATGCACCCCCCCCCCCCCCCCCCCCCGTTTGAAAACCGCTCCCCCGCCGCTGCACGTGACGGTGAAAGGTAAGTGAGAAGTCGGTTTTCAGTCATGAGGTACAGTATAGTAACAAACCAGTGTAGTAGGACTCGATCCAGGACTCAGACTCGAGTCGGACTCGAGTCACATTTTTCGTGACTCGGTTCTCGACTCGAGTCACATTGGAAAATGACTCGGACTCGGACTCGACCATGATGACTCGGACTCGAGCTTGGTGACTCGTGACTCGATTCACGCATTTTTATCAAGGGAAAAAACATAACGTAGGAATGGGAAAGGATCATTTAGGAATAATGTTTGGATGATGAAACATGGAGGGAAGGGATGGAGGAGGATTTTTAGGGGGATGGGAATTAAAAGGAAAACACATTTTGGGTCTGAACAACATGTGCACACACAAGGTAAACTATCTACACTGGGATTTATTTAAAAGACAGAATGATGACGGAAATTTTATAGTTTGGTGAACAACTAAGAACAAGTGACTCGTGACTCGGACTGGAGGCTTGTGACTCGAGACTCGGACTCGGACTCGAGGCTTGTGACTCGGGACTCGGACTCGGATTCAAGGCCTGTGACTCGAGACTCGGACTCGGACTCGATGTTGGTGACTCGACTACAAGTTACCTATAGAAAACCATACATGTACTTTTTGAGAAATCTGTAAGAATGTCAATATGTAAAAAACACTAGTGCCCACAATTTTCACTGGAAAAGTTGTCCAAACCACATTCTTCGTGTCATGGCAAACAGGGCTAAAGAGGTAGGTGTTTCTTATTGTGGATTCGAAAATCGATCCCTTTAAATTTTGGGGATTCCATTATACAGAAAACAACTCACCTCATTTATATTTGCACCGAAAAGCCCAAGAAGTAGAGGGAAGGTACGTGCAGCAGTTTCATTCAAGAAATGTCTAAACTATTAAGCCTACAAGAAAACGTCAAGAACACGAAGCTGCCTATCTACTATGAGGAAGGAGCTTTGTGGGCTTAGAGGGCTGCTGAACATGCAATCGTCTGTTTGACATTGCTGCCCATTGCTTGCCTGCACAATGTCTTACAAGTAGCGTGGCCGGATGATGTCTGACTATTGGTTGATAGAGAGGCTACTCTGTCGGAATACTTCCACCTCCTGGAAAAAGCATCAGCAAATATATTCGTCTTCCTGGACAGATGCGTGGTCTGAAGAGAGATCAGATGTAGAATACACCAACTGAAAAGCTCCAAAGT